AAAATAGAAATGCAATGATGATAATAACCGGTCTTAATCGGTTACCGTTTCAGATAAGATATCTGAGGTGAGGATTCAACATTTAGCTGAACGGATTCGCAATAAAGCGTCCTCCAACTAAAATACTCAACTCTCCAAGTAAACCTTGATGAGATCTATCAGATCTACACCTAAATTTCCCAAAACGATTAACTTATTCTTCAGAAAATCCTTAGTCACTACAAAAAATTCCTAAAAAAGATCGACAATTCCGAAAAATGTGTCGCGATCCATCTACAAGCGCTCCCTCATAAGGCGACTTACCTACGTAGTAGACACTGCACGATAGGGACGACCAACTCTGCTCAATCAATGTCACGGATTTTAATGAAAATTTCTCTATATGCAGCCCTAAGTGAGATATGAAAACGCCTAAAATGTTTTCTTCTAAAACCATTGCCTTGTTGAGATATTGAAATTCCAATAGAGGCATCCTCAGGAAGAAAAATGACCATGACCAATGGGGATTCCATTCATTGTATATTTCACCATTTTTCAACAAAAATGCTTTTAGTCTTGAAATTTTTTAGATATACACCACCATGGTTACTCTACATATCACCATATTCAAAATAGTTTTTCGGTGTATTAAGCAATATCAAGATATTTTATAAGTCCCAGATATACCCCTTTTCTTGTTACCAGCATTTTTCTTCCTTATGAGCGATCTATGAGCTTCCGCTTTGGAACTAATTACTACTGCTCTCAAGCTATTAGCAACAATTATCAGAACTTTGATATTTTGTTTTTAACCCAAACAAAAATCTTTTCTAATATATATATGTGCCGATATGGGTGTGAGTGTCTGGCTCTCTTCTTGACCTACAACTCAGTTCCACACTCCACTACGTAACCTACATCCTCTTTCACTTTCGTTTTACTCCCTTCGGCCTTTTTTACCTTTTTTCTTCGTAGAACAGCTTAAGGAATTTTGCCGTTTCTTCTAAAACTCGAAAAATAAAAAGAAAAGTTTTTTCTTTAAAACTTTTCTTTCATTTCTTTTTAGAAAAAACTGAAAACGCCACCCCTAAACTGTCTTCCTTTTTTCTCTTCATACATTAATTATAGGAGACGTTCGTTACATGTACGATCGAAAGAAGACATGGTTTTTAGACTCTTCTATCTGACTGCTTACTTATAATTTGTCGTTAAGATAAGAAAAAGACGAACAATGCAGCAGTGACCCGAGGGAAAAACAACTAACACTTCCACTTTGAAGTCTGATGAGGTCTTTAAAGTCTCATGAAGTACTTAAGTAAATATTTATTTTTGTTAAAATTTAAATCTTTACTATACAGTACTAGAAGACGGTGAAGGTTTGAATTTACTATTAAAAACTGAAATGAGCTAAAAATTTATTTTTACTAATTTCTGACATTGTTCTTTCAAATGGACACAAAAAAACAAAAAATGTGACTTGTGACGAGTGCTTTGTACACTGCAGTCATTCTCAATTTTTTCATGAAGGTTCACTTAAATCTTTGTCGATTTTTAAATGACAAACGTACACAACATAAATGCCAAGCAACAATTAGAATATGATTTTTTTTCTCAAAAACACAGTGACTTCATGTGACAAATTACTTTCTGTTCATTCACCTATTAATTATTTTTACCGACTCTCCTAATGAGTGTGCAATAATACAATACAAACAAAGATTTAATTATTAACGATGAAACGCTTAAACATCACACTATCGAGACGAAAGTCATTAATTTCTCTTTCCCGACAACCAGGTAAGACGAGATCTTTTAGAAAAAAAAAACATTCATGGCATAAAAGCAGTGAGAGATTCAAGATATGACACATCCCAAAGACCCACATTTGTCAAGCTATCTTGTTCGAGACAAATTGATTGATCCTAAAGACGATCGAGATGTTAATTCAGTTTCTGAACAAAAAAATGTGCAACAAACAAGAAAAATGTCAATAGTGTCTTTGCTATATGATCAAGACACCACAAGCAGGTAAAATATAAGAATATTTTTCTTGAGTCCTGAGAATTTTGATCGATCCTGGATATCTTATTGAAGTTTTGTATAAAAAAAATGATGTATTTCTCGTTTTAGTGATCCATCTGAGAGTCGAGTCAGTTCTTTTAACCAACAGAAAAATGCTGAATCACTTTGGAAGTAAGTATAAAGAATGAATGCTCTAGTGTGATTCTGTTGTTCAACACCTTATGATCATTTCTTTTATGGTTTCATTGGAAAATAATGCTAATATAGCCATCATATATACTTCATATATAGATCTATATCAAGTGAAAAATTTATCTATCAACTTATTATTATTTGAATGACAAAAGAATTTTCAAAGTCATGAGAAAATGTTTGAATCGCTTTTCTACATCTTACTTCATAGACATTATATTATTAGTTTTGTTAAGAGTAGTAATATATAAAAAGAGAAACATATCACGATGATGAGCAGAATATGTGGATATAATTTATCAAAAGTAGATGGTCAAGGAAATACAACAACTTTTTATTTATGACGTTGGTCTGTAGAATTTATGTGATATTCTAATGAGATTCATCTCGGTTCTGTGTTCAGAACGAGAATAAATAAAGAACTTAAATTTTATTCTCATATAAATATACACGTACAATGTATTTGTCTATGGAAATCGATTTTCTCTTTTCTAGGATTATATATAATATCTATCAAACCCAAGAAGTTTATCAATACAGCTCTATTAGGCCTAAAAAGTGGTACTCGCATATATCCTTTACCCTCACTAACAAGGGAACATTCCCAAGTGTCCCATCGTTTTTGAGTTCGAACTCTATGCATAAGGTAGATCCCCGTGATGTATGAAAAACCCCAGAAGAATAAGTGCCCTTAGGCCTTCTGTCTAGAGTTATAGGCATTTTACCGAAATTTTAGCCTTTGGCATGGTATATACCGATAAATCGAATGACTGTATTTCGACCTGAGATTTTGTCCACAGATAGATCTATTTGTGAGTAGAATATCCTGAAAATTTCAGCTCAAAAGAATGTTTTATTCCTGAGATATTAAAGTCCCAAAAAACAGTAAATTCTAGCATCTTTCGTGGGATATTATTGATTTTTGGGACTTTAATATCTCAGGAATAAAACATTTTTTTGAGCTGAAATTGTCAGCATATTCTACTCACAAATAGATCTATTTGTGGACAAAATCTTAGGTCGAAATACCATCATTTGATTTGTCGGTATTTACCATGCCAAAGGCTAAAATTTCGGTAAAATGCCTATAACTCTAGACAGAAGGCCTAAGGGCACTTATTCTTCTGGGGTTTTTCATACGTCACTGGGATCTACCTTATGCATAGAGTCCGAACTAAAAAACGATGGGACACTTGGGAATGTTCCCTCGTAAGCTTATTCAAAATAGTATAAGGGAAAAATCTTTTCTAAAAATCTAACTTATTTGTAAGATTTGTAATTAGAGTATTACCTATTTGCTAGTGTCTGTAATGGTGGTATAGGCATTTATTACTGTAGTTCCCAATTGTCAGAGGTTGGATACTAATTAATGTCTACGATGAGAGAGGAAATTGCAAAACTTCATCTTAAAACTTATATTCACAATTTTCTTTGAAAGCTGTGACGCAATTCCTACGAGATTAAAATGTAAAACACGGTACACTGATTCTGGTTAAACCTCTAAAGACTAGTCGTTTTTACGTATGTTGCAGCATATTTCATCATCACGACTTACGTTACAGCACAGCACTTCAACAAGGAAATACTCCGCATATATGGGGTGTGAGTGTGACTGTGCGTTTCGATGTCTTCTTCTGGTTCAAAACCATACTGGAAGCCTCTGTTGCGTCCATTATTCAATAATGATTGTTTAACTATCTTTTTACGTAGGCCTCGTTTTTTACAGCATACTTTGTCCTATCAACTACTACAGTAGTTATAAATAAAACAAGTTAATATTCTAAATCGATTTTGCAGTGTTTATTGAAATATGTATGAATTAAAAGAAAGAAATTCTGTCTACCTATCAAACTAAATGGATAAAACGAAGAAAAGAGATTTTATTTTATTTTTTTATTATTTATCAACTAGGACATGGAAATATCGCCTAGCAGTAGCAAGAACAACTCAAGAAAGATCCGAAGCTTTGAAATTCTTGAGCTCATACAAAGTCAAATCAAACTGTCGCCATAGTTTATCAACATGCAACGAGCTACAAACTGAACACGATATCTGTGACTCTAAAAATGCAGATAATATTTTACAATTAGAGGTAGTATCGCTTTATTTTTTCTTCTTCGAAAACGTATTAGTATGTCTTTCGTTCTGACATTTATTTCTTTGGAAAAGTACACGAGAAAATACAATAAAAAGCTGTAGCGATAGTGTCATTTTTGATAACAGAATTTTGCTGAGGATTTGCAGTAGTTCTTATTTTACGAATTCCCAAACTATGCTCAGGATTCACTATCCAATTTAAAACTTTCACAGTCTCAAACTTTTTCACAGCATCAAAAGATCAGAGAAATAGATAATTTTTTTTTTGCTGTTTAACTTTCTGCTTGAATCTTTCTTTAGTTTCCATACGAAGCTTTCAGTCAATAGAGATTGAAGTTCATATTTTCGTTCGACTACATCATGTCAGCGGGAAGTACGCAAAACATAACTATTTAATTTATTATCATGCATAACAAGACCTCAATGGCATATTGACTATTAGAAGTGTTGAGATATCTATGACGTACATGGCTGTTTTTTATTTGCTTTTTTTAAAGGTTGACCAGAATGAAATTGATCCAAGTCTTCACGAAAACCAAATTGACATTTCTCAAATGAGCAAGGGAGTAAAAGACGATAATAACATAAAATTAGAAGACCAGCTGCATTCGTCAGAAGATACAAACCAAAAACCGTTGTCGTTGCAGGAGAAAATTGCACACAATTATGAATTAGATATAATGGGTGTTCTGAATCTATCTTCAACGAATATGACGGATGATGACATGCAAATGGTTGTAGAGAAAATTTTCGGACAACAGAAAACAAAATGTACTGGATTCATCTTACGTGATAATGCCTTGACATCAATCGGCATGAAAATGTTCGTCGACGCATTACTTGCGACACGAACGAAGTTAAAATATCTTAATCTGTCGAATAACCCAAATGTAGGTGACGTTGGCATTGAACATTTAGTGTATCTGTTGAAAAAAACTCGATCAATAACTTTTCTGGCCTTATCCAACACGGGTATAACTGATCGAAGTGTTCGATTACTAGCGGATTTACTTTGTGATGTTGATGTTGATGCTGATAATGATTCATATTGTCCACATCTCGAAAAACTTTATTTATCTTTCAATGAGTCAATTACTGATGAATCGATGGAAGCTCTTCTCCAAATACTTCAACAAAATCGAACTTTGAAGCTATTCTCTGTACAATATTGCAGCTTGTCTGACATAGCCCGACGAATCTTGAGAGAAGCAGGTATAAAAAAGAAGAAAAAAAAGTTCAGTTTGTCAGAATGAAAAAGCTAATACGAACTAACTTTCTTAAGTGTTGTTTTTTTAAGTCAATTTTCAACATAAGGTATATCGCGTCGCACTATTTCTTTTTGTTTTTGTTTTTATTTGTTTTTCTCATTATCTATGCTTTGTCTTCGTCATCAATATCTTTGAATTAATTGTGCGCTTACTCAGTGTGGGTGCGGGTGCGATTTTAGAGAAGATCTACAGTCAGATCCTTTGCAGAACGATAATCATTGCTATCTTCAGCAGAAAATAAATCGATTGATCTATTTTAGTGCATTTTTTAACACGAGATTTTCACTATTTTCTATTTTTCGTAAAATATCTTCGATATTTGAGAAATATTTTGAAAATTTACTTTGGTGAGGTGAGTTTTGAATCATTTCTATTAATCCTTCAATATTGTAATATTCAGATACTACAAGATCTAATTTTATCATTAAATGCTTAATACATCTAGATTGTTTTGTTTCAAAGTTTGTATCAGTGAACAAAATTCAAGTAATTCTTTACCAGTATATGTCTCATGCTAATGTTTGCATTAATCTGAGAAATTCGTATTGAGAATTCTAAAATCGTTCAAGATATCCACATATAGTTCGGTGTCTTCGGCATAAAATCGATATAACAAAGTGACTGATGTTATTGATGAATTTTCTTCAAATCGAATGGCTATTCAAAAAAATTTAATTGTTTGAGAAAAGTTTTCCAAAAAAGAACAATTCTGATCTTATAATGTTGTTGTGAGAATAAATTAGACACAACTATCTGTGATTTTCTGAAGAAGATAACTCGATTTCGTTTTGTCTTGTCACTTATTTTGAAGTAAATTTTCAAGATTATTCAAAATTAATTCATCAATTAGTCAATAATGACTATGAGAGAGAATAATGAAGGTGAATATTTCAACATCTTGATCAAAATTTATTTAATATTCGAGTATAGTATTAACAAGAAAAGAAATTTCATATAAATTAAGATGACATCCATTACACAACTCATAAAGGACATAGTTAACAGTTCATTGTATCGTATCGTTACATGGGAAATGTTGTTGATCTTGTCATTCTAACTGAACTTTTGAAATTAAATTTCTACGTGTACTGATTAATTTAAGAAATTTTTTATCAATTACTATGACAAATAAGTCAATGTGTCGACATGCATGCTAACTATGAAATAAATATGTGCTGAAAATATCAGATGAATCAATACTTGCTATTTTTTAACAATCAATCGGTAATTGCAACAGATTCATATCTGCGATAAGAAATAATGATTTATTTTCAAATTTTGTGAGCTTAATCAGCATAAAGTGCCATACTACTGATATAAATTTGAGTTCAATTGGAATTTGTTTAGTCACAATATATAATATATTAGTACAGTAGTACAGCAAGACTACTAATAGTAATAATCGCCTATCTCTGCTCAGGAACCCTGGAAAACCGAATTCTTGTAGAGCACTTAATAGCTTACTGAGGTCTGTCGTTTGAGTGTATACTCGATTCAACAGCGATTTGACACCTGGGGATGTTCCCTCGTGAGTCTTGCCGAACGCATGCTCAAAACAACTTTGCAGTGTAATACAAAATATTTGTAAAACGTTATTTTGTTTTTTCTTAAATATAGTTCATTATTTGATTGACATGGATGAATTATTATCGCCAAATATGTCGATGTTCTTGAACACCATCTCAAAAGTAGAGCTTGCCGGGTTGGTCTCGGACCTGATCTAATGGGCCATACTCGAACAGTAACATCCAATTATGACTTAATTATTATAAGATCATCGTCAAGATTACTTGAGTAATGTCTAAGATATGTTAGTCGCAGAGTGCAATGATCGCTAAAAAGTATCTGGCATCTTTGAAAGCAACAACTCTGAGATTCAAACTAAAAAATTTTGTTAAAATTTCGAGTTTGGATCTGATTCAGGTTTTGAAAAAGTTTAATCAATTGACTCGAAAGTTTTTTGACCCGATGAATCCTAATAGAAGGCCATACTTTATGCTGATCATATCGATATTTAACATATTTCATCGAAATACTTTCTATCTTGAATGGGAATCATCAAATTGATTTTATTGGCGTTGGGATTTAGTCAAGACTGAAGAACGAATGTACTTTGTTTCATTCACAGTTGAGACTTGAAACCATATAGAAACAAATGAAAAAGTATGTTCGGTTCGTTCTTTTGGAATTTTGAAATTTATTGAGAACAATTTCATATACAATAAGGATGTCCATAGACTGGATCAATATTTTCAAAAAAACGAAAAAGCCGAATTCGTTGCAAAAAACTATGATGCCTTCAAAACCTTTCATAAAGTTTCAAATTTAATAAATATTTGATTGAATCGATACAACAGTTTTTTTTTCTATGACCATAATTTTGATAGATATATGTTCAACATATAATTCTTGTACAACAGGAACAAAATCTCAATTATCTGTTGAATCATCTTCACTAAATCCATAACGATCTACAGTTAAACAAGATAATGAAGATGATCAGCATCAAAGAATTATTCCAAGACCATCTCTGAATAAAATTTTATTTTCATTTATTTATCTCAACAAACTATTTTTGTTTTTTAGATTTTGTCAAAATGATGATTCTTGTCCAGTACTATATTCATTTTGGTTACCTTTATCTGATGGTGAATTACTTGACAATGAATTAGGAAAAACCAGTTTAACAACAATTCAAACAGAAATTAATAATCACGATGAATTATCATTAGAAGATAAAACAAGTACATTAATGAAAACTCAATTGATTGAAATGAACAACATTGTTCAGCAACACCTAAACCTGTCAGTTTTGCAAAAGTTATTTAATGATAATCGGTTTAAATGTATTTAGAGAATCATAAAAAAAAGAATTTGGTGAAGAAAATATTCAATTATGCATTGAATATGAAAATCTTATGGAAACTAACAAAATCAGGATGAAATTTTAAATATTTTCTTTTTCACAGATTCGTAATAAAGCTGATTCAATTTGGGTGTGGGTGTAGATGTGTGTTTTTTGTATGCTCGAACACGTATAGTGTCGATAGACTTAAAGGGTGTTGAATACGTTTTAATTCCCTCATTTTATACTCTTTTTTAATACTTTTCGTCATTCGAATAAGCTGATATTTATAGCATAAATACTAAGAGTGTCAATATACTTTTCTCCTGAATGTAACCCTTTTATAATCTTAGCAGTCACAAAAAGTCAAGTAACATAAGACTGATAGAAATATTTCTACTGCTTTAATAATGATATCGTATAGAAAATAGCGGTTTGATAAAGATTTACAAATAAACTGTATCAGGTGAAGTATAGTATCAGTATTCTAATTCATAGATTACATAGAATACAAAATACCAAGAGCTAGAGCTATCATTATAGACAATGTAATCTTGTGATTTATTAAAAGACAAATGTTTGACATGATTAGTATTTTAAGCATGTGAGAGTAGTTGGATGAAAAAGTAATACGTTATCAGTAGGTTTAGCTAAATTGAATAGTTCGGATTTATGAACATTACATTTTAGACGTTCAGTTCTTGTAAGCATAAATCATTCGATTCCTCTTATAGATTCAATCGTGATGATGTTGTTTTGTAAATTATAAAACGTTTGTCGAAGTTGATTATCTACATCGATGATTTGTTGACGTGTGGTTTTAAACAATACAAGATCGGCTTGAACTTGATTTCCCAATCGAATAAATTCCTGTTCTATATAAAAAGTCACTAACGATTGATATAACTATAGGAGTTGTGTTTCTCGACACAGACAGTTCCTTTTCAGTGGAAATAGGAGACGGACCTCATGGGTCAGCTCATGCAGGGAAAGTCTTTCAGGTGTTAGGATCGAATGAATCAGTATTTTATACCACATACTATGAGAAAAAGCATGCATCTGGCGTTTTGTATAACATACATTGAAAGAGAATATTTCAGTTTATCAAATAATAGGTTAGGAAGAACAAATAACCGACACGCGATTGTCTAAGTTGTGAGAAAATGCAAGTGAAAATTATGCATGAAAATTCTCGCTATCTTAGCCATGATCCGCGATAAGGTCAAAATATCAATATACAGAGATGTCTATCATGGTCTGTGGGGCAGGCTAAGGGTGATTCACTTTTCTCGCTATTCACTATTGAGAAAAACAGTAAAATTTCCCTTGAAACCTTCTGTAATGATCAGATAGAAAAACGAGAGAGAAGTCGAACTATTTTACGACTCATGTAAATCCTGACGACGTTCTCGAGATTACGCAATATGACCGTGTTATTGCACAATCTATTACATAATTCACTTTCTATCTTGCGAAAGAAAATATCTACAGAAAGATCGTGGCGATATAAAAGAGAGAAAGCATTTCACACTGCATCAGTTCAAACAGCTACAACCCATGATGATATCTTATCCCGAAACGGAACAATACCGTACGGTGATTGAAAAGATAACTAGGTTTCCGTATCGGTATAAAATTGAACACGGTAAATCATTTCCAGTACTAAAATTTGTCGGTACAGTCAAGTTACACGGGACTAATGCAGCGGTCGTCTATCAGAAAGACACTGAACAGCGATGTCAGTCACGTAATAATATCATCACACCGAACTTTGATAATGCTGGATTTGCTTGTTTTAGGTATCCATTAGCGAAAAGATTCCTTACAGAACGAATTCTTCTTGACTGTCCTGTCATTCGCAAGCATTACGAGCGTGGAAATCCTATTGTTATTTATGGTGAGTGGTGTGGTGGAAATATTCAGAGAAATGTGGCCATTTGTGGTCTCTCGAAAATGTTCGTTATCTTCAAGGTCAGAGTTGGAGAGTCAAACCCTCCACTCTGGCTCGATCCAAAAGATTGGTCAAATCTTCGATGGTCTGAACAGTCAATCTACAATATTTACGATTTTTCTACGTACGAAATTGACATTGATTTCAATCAGCCAAAATTTTCTCAGAATAAACTTATCAAAATTACTGAATCAGTCGAACAGCAATGTCCAGTTGGGGCACACTTCAATCAAAAGGGCGTTGGTGAAGGGGTAGTCTGGACAGAATGGACTCAGTCGCGAGGTATTCTGACATTCAAAGTTAAAGGCAAAGAGCATTCGGTGAGCAAAGTCAAACAACTTGCCTCGGTCGACACAGAGAAATTTGGTAATCTCCATGATTTTGTTGACTATGCCTGTACGGAAAATCGCATGCACCAAGCACTTGATTATCTATATGAAAAAGAGTTAAGTGTTGAAATGGAAAACTTCGAAACGTTTCTCAAATGGCTTGCAGATGATATTATCAAAGAAGAATCAGACACTATGAACGATTCAAATATCGATCCGAAAGATGTTGCCTGTGCGATTACGACCAAAGCCAAAGCCTGGTTTCAAGATCAATTGTTCTTGTACTTTTCACAATAAACACGCAAGGAAGTAATAAATAGGTTCTGATTATTTGTTCCAAGAAAAAGAAATGATTTCTCGTCGTCGGTTTGCCTGTTTTTTTTATTATACAAACTTCTTTTTGTGGATAAGTCTAAATTCCAAAACGTTGTCTGATTGTCAATTTTCCCACATGTTCGCTCACTTTGTATTAAAGTTATATTTCTATAATTTTTCAGATAGAAACGACACTATGATCCTTCTCATATTCTTAAATCTGAGCAATGAGAAGATCGATCATCGTTAGGTGAAAGGTATATTCACTCAGATCAACGACGTTTGTGATACACGAAAAACGATATTCGACAATGTGATCGTGATTTTATCTCCATTGGTGTCACAAG